ATAAAGCCCGGGGCACGCTGGAGGTGATTTAGAGAAGTCGAGCGGTCACACAGGACGCGCCGCTGAGCGCTTCTTGGAAAGTCGCCAGAGAGTCACAACATCACGCAGGACTCGAGAACAGGAAGCAGGAAGTGACTCTTGTTCCTACGTGATCAGACCTTCAGTCGTGTTTGTGAGACAAATTCATTAACAGTGGGTAAGTACGCCATTTATTAAAGTATTTTAACATCAAAAGTACTTTAAAGTTATCAAAACTGTGACTGGGTTTGTGCCAAGAAGCCGGCCTTTCTTTACCTCCCGCTGACAGCGAGACCGGCTAATGTAGGCCAGTAATGGAATACAGGCCAATATTAGAGGATTTACGGGAGTTGCAGCTTCGGTAGCTAGCAGGTAGTAACTCGCTTACGTATTTATTTAACCAACAGATACACAATTTTCAAAGTAAAAGGCTCGTTATGCATTTTTATTGAAACTTAAACGTATAAAATATAACGTTCCCTCACGTGACGCAAGTCCGTTCCATTTGACCATTTTCTTTGACCAAGGAAGGACGTGTCCGCGTAAGCAATACACGGGCTTGCTAGGCACCTTGGCTTTGAGAACCACTCCTTGTGCTGTTGTTGCAACGACAGTCTCCACACACCAGATGTCGCTTTGGTGTTCGTGTTCATATTTCACCTTTAAATGAACAGGAACCCCTCAACGTTCCTGGTGGGTTTTGTCCCATGTTGGAATGGTTAAAGTTCTGAAGTCATTAACGAGGGAAAGTCCAACAAAACGCACCAACCAGCGGGTTCTAACGGGAGAACATCCGCTCTGAAACCTGAAAATCATCTACAGTATAAAACATCAGAGCCAGGATCTCCTGAACCAGCTGGACACTTTGTCCCTCCAGGCGTCCCCAACCTGTTCCTCGTGGAGACGATTGACTCGGCCAAGCTAGCGGAGAGGGTCAACAGCTCATGGCAGCGTGTGCGAGGCGCTGGAAGCCAGAGGTTAAAGGTCATGGTGCAGATCAACACCAGCGGAGAGCAGAGTGAGTGTCGCCGAGGCACGCCCACCGCTTCAGCGACTCGATGATAACGTTGCACGTTGGTTGCAGGTAAACACGGCCTGCTGCCGGAGGACACGGTGAACACGGTGAAGCACATCATGTCTCAGTGCTCCGCCCTGCACTTCTCAGGGCTTATGACCATCGGTCACTATGGTTACGACCTCACGCTGGGTCCCAACCCCGACTTCCAGGTACTGAACACTGCATTTCTCAGTGTAATGAAGATCTGCTTACCTTACCTACTTTCACCACCGAGCAGCAGGCGACAGGATAGTAAACATGATGACATCACTCCTTCGCTGCATGGGGTCACAACCCGCTGAGTCGGCACAACTAAAAGCAGTTTTTTAGAAGCAGGTTTTAATCCTAATCTGGTGCCTGTAGATGCTGCTGAGTCGGAGGCAGGAGGTGTGCGACAGCCTGAAGCTGCCTCTGGAGGAGGTGGAGCTCAGCATGGGCATGTCCACCGACTTCGAACACGCGGTGAGTACCGACACGGGAAAAGGCCAAGCAGCTGTCGGCCTACACGTAGAAAACAAACGGTTAAAGTTACAAGCATCGACTACGGAGCTTGTTCATTCCAGCTGTGTTTACGTGCTAATAACGATATCTTAGTAATAACTTCAGCCCTTGTGGTCTCAATAAGGCTTTCTGAGGATTCTTTGTGCCAAAATAAACCATGAAAGACCCTTTCTGTCACTTTTCTTTAACCAGACGAGTCGATTGAGGACCCGTCGTCCTGTACGACGAGGATCTGGCCCAGAGGCGGCAGCAGCAGACAGTTAGCTCTACAGCAAAGAACAACACATGAGATAGAACATTATCGTAGTCTGAGACGTCGTTTATGAAATACAAGTTATTTTTGTTCACCATTACTTTAACCCAGGAATAAGATGCATGGATTTGATGAAGCCACGCTGTCTCATGCAGTCTTATGTGTGTAACACACACACACACACACACACACACACACACACACACGTACATCATGACTAATTTAACTACACTGAACTGCTTTAGTAATACTTTAATCTCTTATTCTGGAGTAAAATAAAGAAACAAGCTAAATCATCACATATGTGTGGCATCAAGGAGCATCTTCTGAGTTCAAACACAGGGATGGAGCTCAACGTTTACACCTGAACAGTATCAGGATGTTTAACTCACAGAGGCCTGCAGCTCTTCTGTTTTATGAGCAGAGCGCTGAGAATCCGCTTGTTATGAGCGCTGAATGTAATTTTGTCGCTTCCGTGCGGAGCGGTAGGGAAACACATTTCAAACACGGAACCGAGTCCGGCTACCGAACCGAGCAGAATTCTGATGAAGTCACACCGGTGCACGAAGGTGCGGGATCCAACCCACAGGAGAGGAGGTAAACAGCGAGTGGATCACAGGGACTGGACTGCTGTTTTAGAGCAAAACTGCGGTAAAAATGGGTGTCCTCATTATCAAAAGCACCCCCCCCAGTGTAGAAGCGGCGCTCACGCGGGTGTCCCTTTCTGTTCCGACACTGCGACATGCAAAACTTTTAATTTACTAAGCCTACAATTTACTTTTACTCAGTAACAGATACGATTTAAAATGTAGCGAATTACAATGTTTTTTAAAAAAAAGTACTCAAGTAAAAGTAAAAGTACATATTTTAAAATTGACTTAAAAAGTATAAATACACAAAAAAGCTACTCAATTACAGTAACGTGAGTAAATGTAATGAGTTACTTTACATGACTGAAACGATGGTTGTATGAGATGTAAGTCCATGTAGCAAAACCTTATTAAGTATCTGAGATCTTGTGACGTCTGCGTTGTAAACTCAGTCTGACGGTGTGAGCTAGAGATAATTCATGAAACCGCCGTCGTGCAGATGTACGACACCCGCGTGTGGAAGCGATCCAACCTTTTATTATCGTTGACACTTTTAGAAAAGTCAGACTTTGACGAGTTTAAAGGGGTTAGCGGTTATTTCTTAGTGTGAAGTAAAAAGGTTCAACAGTAGCGATGATATGATGTCATTATGTTCATTCTGATAGATTAAATTATTGATTCAACAAATACTGATCTGGTGTAGTTTAAGATGTAAATCATTACAGGAAACCGGTTCACGTTAACCATCGTTCACTAATGTAACGTATTGGATTCATTATTCAAACACTTTGGATTTAAACACGTTGTTCGTTCAACAAAACACGATTATATGAAGTTTTAAAGTCATTTATGAGCCGAGGAAGATGGACTTTATTCAGAGAGTAGATAAAAGTCCTGTGTCTTGCAGCCTTGAGGGCTCAACGTACGCAGGACTAGTTCAGGTTATCGGCTCGGGTTAGCGTCATCTCCACACCACGACGTCGGCTTGAGCTGTGTGACGACGTTCGGCCCGGGCCTTGAAAGCTAACTTCGGGTCATTTCGGATGAAAACGTGGCCATCTGGTACGCTACACACTCATAGCTAGTTTTTATTCAGTGTGAGTCTTTCCAAAGCCGCGTTTATGGAACGTTTAACGTAAACGGCGTTCCTACAACGTGAATTCCGTCTCATCAGATTTGTTCTGATATACTTTCTGTTTTTTTCCTCCTCAACTGTTTTCACTCTCCTGGGCTGAAGATCGAAGTCGGCGCCACCAATGTGCGAGTCGGTAGCATCATCTTTGGCAACAGGGATTATCCCAACAGTGCAGCAAACACTCCAAATCCCAGTCCGGTTCCCAGTCCAGCTCCCAGTCCGGCTCCCAGTCCAGAGAAGACCTCCAAGACGGTTTCAGTAGAAGCTGCCAAGAAGATGAAGCACCTCACCGTCTCTGAACACTGATGAACCCTTAACAACCTCTCCGTATGGAAAACTAACGTATTCCTGGAGCTAGGATTCAACACATCTTGGAAAACTTTGAGGAATATTGACATAATTTTCAGCACTAATTGACATGGAGTAAAAAACTGCAGTAGATCAGCTGTTTTTGTCCAGCAGGTGTTCCTAACCTCTAGTGCTGACTTCCCACCTGTGGAAGTTGGTTATTATGGGATGTAAATACGGCTTCTTAAAGCGGGGTTGTGTGGAGCAGTTCAGAGCAGTCAGCATCTTACCTGCAGTAGACGGGTGAGATGAACACAAACTCATCATCCGAGTCCCTAAAGCCGGAGTTCAGAGTTTCCAAACTCTCTGGAAACCTTTGGAATGGTTCCACTCTACCGCGGGAGTCGGATGGCGTTCCTCTGTGTTCCAGGAACTTTGAACCCGTGCAGCTAATTTTCATGGAGTTGTCCCGGTGTGCGGAACTCGTCTGGAGTCGTCCTCTATTCCTGTCCGTCGGATAGAACGTAACCCTGTGGGGGAAGTTTGTTAACGTGTGAATAAAATAAAGTTAAAATGAATCGGGACATGTTTACCCCCCCCCCCCCCCCACTGTTCCCATGGGTGACCCCGCCAGGGGGAGGTGGTGCTCACTCCTCACCCCTGCCACGTGGACATCAGCCCAGCTCAGTGGTCAACTTTCCTGGCGGGGTCACCCGAGGACAGTGGGAGGGTTAAGACTCGTGGTGCGTGAACGTGGCGTAACTACTATCACACACTTCCCACGCCACATTCCAGCTAGTCTCCAAATCCAGGAAGATGCTGGTTTTATGTCAGCTGTTCAGCTCCTCCCTCTAAATCAAAACCAGCAGAGACATAACTGAGTGGATGTTTTCTGTGGGCCGGAGCGCTGGACTCTGGCATGAACCGGTACGTATCCATTCCTGTCCCAGACGGCCACAACTCCGTGACTTTGTCTCCGATTCTCTCCGATGGTGGTGAGAACCTTTGCAACAGTTTTGAGACGCGTTCGAAGCTGCCTCGGGAAACAACTGGTTATAGTTAAACTTTCCTTTCCGAGCGGTATTCCTTCTCGGATCGACGCTTTTTCAGTAACCGTCTTTTATCTCATGACTGTTGGGGAAAAGAGTCCCAGCCGCCGATGTGAAGCGTAACTTCAGTTTCTGCTCCGACCGTCGGCGGCGGGATCCCGACCGGAAAAATTCTCCGATTGTTCAAGCTGACGTCACTCTGAAGGTTTTCTACTGCCGAGCGTTCCCACACGACCCCGCTTCAAGGCTCACTCTTCCCTTTAAGAGCTCACGGACTTGGGAGCGTGCTGTTGGGCCGACGTCTCTGACCTTCCCAGCTGAACGGGAATCCCGCTGCAGTGTACCGTTTTTATTCACTGGTTTAATAAAGGATGATCCCTTTAGAACTCTGGTTATTGTGCGTTTCACCTGGTCTCATGTGTCTAGTCTTTATTCTGGATATGAGATTGAAGGGAAAGTGTTTGTTTCTGTGTTTGTATGGGTGTGTGTGTGTGCACGTTTGTACATGTGTGTGTGTGTACATGTGTGTGTGTGTGTACATGTGTGTGTGCACGTTTGTACATGTGTGTGTGTTTGTACATGTGTGTGTGTGTGTACATGTGTGTGTGTGTACATGTGTGTGTGTTTGTACATGTGTGTGTGTACATGTGTGTGTGTGTACATGTGTGTGTGTGTGTACATGTGTGTGTGTGTGCACGTTTGTACATGTGTGTGTGTTTGTACATGTGTGTGTGTGTGTACATGTGTGTGTGTGTGTACATGTGTGTGTGTGTGTGTGTACATGTGTGTGTGTGCGTTTGTACATGTGTGTGTGTTTGTACATGTGTGTGTGTGTGTACATGTGTGTGTGTGTACATGTGTGTGTGTGTGTACATGTGTGTGTGTGCGTTTGTACATGTGTGTGTGTGCGTTTGTACATGTGTGTGTGTTTGTACATGTGTGTGTGTGTGTACATGTGTGTGTGTGTGTGTACATGTGTGTGTGTGTGCACGTTTGTACATGTGTGTGTGTTTGTACATGTGTGTGTGTGTGTACATGTGTGTGTGTGCGTTTGTACATGTGTGTGTGTGTGTACATGTGTGTGTGTGCGTTTGTACATGTGTGTGTGTGTGTGTGTACATGTGTGTGTGTGTGTGTTTGTACATGTGTGTGTGTGTGTACATGTGTGTGTGTGTACATGTGTGTGTGTGTGTACATGTGTGTGTGTGTGCGTTTGTACATGTGTGTGTGTGTGTACATGTGTGTGTGTGTACATGTGTGTGTGTGCGTTTGTACATGTGTGTGTGCGTTTGTACATGCGTGTGTGTGTGTGTTTGTACATGCGTGTGTGTGTGTGTTTGTACATGTGTGTGTGTGTGTGTGTGTGTGTGTGTGTGTGTGTGTGTGTGTGTGTACGTGTGTGTGTGTGTGTGTGTGTGTGTGTGTACGTGTGTGTGTGTGTGTACATGTGTGTGTGTGTACATGTGTGTGTGTGCGTTTGTACATGTGTGTGTGCGTTTGTACATGCGTGTGTGTGTGTGTTTGTACATGCGTGTGTGTGTGTGTTTGTACATGTGTTTGTACATGTGTGTGTGTGTGTGTGTGTGTGTGTGTGTGTGTGTGTGTGTGTGTGTGTGTGTGTGTGTGTGTGTGTGTGTGTGTGTGTGTGTGTGTGTGTGTACGTGTGTGTGTGTGTGTACGTGTGTGTGTGTGTGTGTGTACGTGTGTGTGTGTGTGTGTGTGTGTGTGTGTGTGTGTGTGTGGTCTGAGGAGGCCAATGTCGAACAATAAATGCTACCATGGTAAATCTGCTGTGTTGTGTATTTATTCACGTTAGAAGTTGGTTTGGTCAGAAACTTTATTAAGCACTTCAGGGAGACGACCACTTCAAAGGAAACATAACAGTGATGACATCACAACAGAAGCCCTAAAACCATCAAAACTACTCAATAAATAAGATGTGATGAAACAAGTCGGTAGAAAACCAACAGAACATATTTACAGCACAGTCGGTCCTGAAGACCAAAGCTGTGCTCATGGAAACCGTCCAGCCTCCAGAGGGGCGGAGACGAAACCCAATCCTGCTAATGAGCAGGGTCGGGGTCGGGGTCCCTGACCCCGCTTCAAGCCTAAACAAGGAAATGATCAGATGTGTTTACTTGTGTCCGCTCCACTACAGATGCTGAAAAAGCAGATGTGAACACGGTCCTTTGGGTGCGTGACAGGCGGAGGCTATGTTAGCCTTATTCAGCTTTAGAAGATGCTTAAAGTCGACCAATCACCTGGTAGCTTCTTAAATATAAAAACAAGGAAGTGTACTCGTTGTTTTCTACGAAGCCGTCAGAGACGAGGAACAGCAGCAGTGCTCCTCTGTGAAACCCTGCAGCATCACTCGTTCACGTCTGAATGACTTCAGAGGGGTTTCACTCACTCAGCGTGAAAAAGGCTGCCTGGAAGGAAACCTAAAGCGACGAGCGAGGATGTTTAAACTGTTCTGGGAGGAGAGGTGAACCCGTTTGACACGTCGGGAGTAAAATATCTGCACCAGCCTTCGGCGGGAGCGTTAGAAACCCCAGCGGGTCATTCAGGAGTGAAAGGAGTTCTTATTTTAGAGAAATTAGAAACAAACATCCTGCTTTCTGCACCTGAAGGTAGAAAAAAGTCCAGCGTTTCCAGGAATGCTGCGACGGTGGGATGAGGAGAGCAGGAGCCCAAGGTGGGTGTGTGAAGGGCTTCTCGTGCCTGATGTTCAGACCTCCATCTCCAGACCCGGATCTAAGCTACACCAGCTTCTTGGCCTCGAAGAAGCTCTTCAGGTGTCTCATCTGCCAGATGCCGGTGATGATGAGGATGAAGGTCTGAGCGATGGACCACCAGAGAACGCGCTGGTTGGTGCTTTCACTCGTCATGCGGAACCGCTCCTCTCGAAACTGCAACGAGAAGTGTCGCGTGAGCAGAAGCGTGAAGACACAATCAGGTTCTGATTTGTTCATGGACCGACCCTCTGGTAGTTCTGCTCCTTCTGGATCTGCTCCACCTGGTCCAGCAGCTGTCGGACCCGCAGCTGCAGCTCCGTCAGCTTGTCCTTCGCTGCTATTTCAGGGTAATTGTTGGTGTGCTCGCCTACCTGGATGTCCAGGTGTACTCTCTGCAGCAGGTGAGCAGAAAGCACGTAAAGTCCAACATACGTGTAACACGTCAGGTGACTCCATCAGACTAAAGCAGTTTCCTCCCAAGCTGCCAGACTTGCTGTGGTCTTCAGCATCGGTACCTGAACAGAACTGGGTCGGGTCGGGTCGGGTCGGGTCAGCCCCCCCCCCCCCCCCCCCCCCTCTGGGATCTGTTAACGACACGTACCCTAAAGGTCACTGCACTCTGCAGATCAGTTCCTGATGACCGCTCCTGGTTCCTCTGGAACGAGTCATCTCTGTCTCCATCTTTGGCTGCTTTAAGAGTCGCCTGAAGACTCGTTTTTATCATCTGGCTTTAACTGACCTGTTGGGTGACTGGTTTTAACTGACCCGTTCGGTGACTGGTTTTAACTGACCCGTTCGGTGACTGGTTTTAACTGACCCGTTCGGTGACTGGTTTTAACTGACCCGTTCGGTGACTGGTTTTAACTGACCTGTTCGGTGACTGGTTTTAACTGACCCGTTCGGTGACTGGTTTTAACTGACCCGTTCGGTGACTGGTTTTAACTGACCTGTTGGGTGACTGGTTTTAACTGACCCGTTCGGTGACTGGTTTTAAATGACCTGTTCGGTGACTGGTTTTAACTGACCTGTTCGGTGACTGGTTTTAACTGACCTGTTCGGTGACTGGTTTTAACTGACCCGTTGGGTGACTGGTTTTAACTGACCTGTTGGGTGACTGGTTTTAACTGACCCGTTGGGTGACTGGTTTTAACTGACCCGTTGGGTGACTGGTTTTAACTGACCCGTTCGGTGGCTGGTTTTAACTGACCCGTTGGGTGACTGGTTTTAACTGACCCGTTCGGTGACTGGTTTTAACTGACCTGTTGGGTGACTGGTTTTAACTGACCTGTTGGGTGACTGGTTTTAACTGACCCGTTCGGTGACTGGTTTTAAATGACCTGTTCGGTGACTGGTTTTAACTGACCTGTTCGGTGACTGGTTTTAACTGACCTGTTCGGTGACTGGTTTTAACTGACCCGTTGGGTGACTGGTTTTAACTGACCCGTTGGGTGACTGGTTTTAACTGACCCGTTGGGTGACTGGTTTTAACTGACCCGTTGGGTGACTGGTTTTAACTGACCCGTTCGGTGGCTGGTTTTAACTGACCCGTTCGGTGACTGGTTTTAACTGACCTGTTGGGTGACTGGTTTTAACTGACCCGTTGGGTGACTGGTTTTAACTGACCCGTTGGGTGACTGGTTTTAACTGACCTGTTGGGTGACTGGTTTTAACTGACCCGTTTGGTGACTGGTTTTAACTGACCTGTTCGGTGACTGGTTTTAACTGACCTGTTCGGTGACTGGTTTTAACTGACCTGTTGGGTGACTGGTTTTAACTGACCTGTTGGGTGACTGGTTTTAACTGACCTGTTCGGTGACTGGTTTTAACTGACCCGTTTGGTGACTGGTTTTAACTGACCTGTTCGGTGACTGGTTTTAACTGACCTGTTGGGTGACTGGTTTTAACTGACCTGTTGGGTGACTGGTTTTAACTGACCTGTTCGGTGACTGGTTTTAACTGACCCGTTGGGTGACTGGTTTTGACTGACCCGTTCGGTGACTGGTTTTAACTGACCCGTTCGGTGACTGGTTTTAACTGACCTGTTGGGTGACTGGTTTTAACTGACCTGTTGGGTGACTGGTTTTAACTGACCTGTTGGGTGACTGGTTTTAACCGACCCGTTCGGTGACTGGTTTTAACCGACCTGTTCGGTGACTGGTTTTAACTGACCTGTTCGGTGACTGGTTTTAACTGACCTGTTCGGTGACTGGTTTTAACTGACCTGTTGGGTGACTGGTTTTAACTGACCTGTTGGGTGACTGGTTTTAACTGACCTGTTGGGTGACTGGTTTTGACTGACCCGTTGGGTGACTGGTTTTGACTGACCCGTTGGGTGACTGGTTTTGACTGACCCGTTGGGTGACTGGTTTTGACTGACCCGTTCGGTGACTGGTTTTAACTGACCCGTTCGGTGACTGGTTTTAACTGACCCGTTCGGTGACTGGTTTTAACTGACCTGTTGGGTGACTGGTTTTAACTGACCCGTTCGGTGACTAGTTTTAACTGACCCGTTCGGTGACTGGTTTTAACTGACCCGTTCGGTGACTGGTTTTAACTGACCTGTTGGGTGACTGGTTTTAACTGACCCGTTCGGTGACTGGTTTTAACTGACCCGTTCGGTGACTGGTTTTAACTGACCAGTTGGGTGACTGGTTTTAACTGACCTGTTGGGTGACTGGTTTTAACTGACCTGTTGGGTGACTGGTTTTAACTGACCCGTTCGGTGACTGGTTTTAACTGACCCGTTCGGTGACTGGTTTTAACTGACCAGTTGGGTGACTGGTTTTAACTGACCTGTTGGGTGACTGGTTTTAACTGACCTGTTGGGTGACTGGTTTTAACTGACCCGTTCGGTGACTGGTTTTAACTGACCCGTTCGGTGACTGGTTTTAACTGACCCGTTCGGTGACTGGTTTTAACTGACCCGTTCGGTGACTGGTTTTAACTGACCTGTTGGGCGACTGGTTTTAACTGACCCGTTCGGTGACTGGTTTTAAATGACCTGTTCGGTGACTGGTTTTAACTGACCTGTTCGGTGACTGGTTTTAACTGACCTGTTCGGTGACTGGTTTTAACTGACCTGTTGGGTGACTGGTTTTAACTGACCTGTTGGGTGACTGGTTTTAAATGACCCGTTCGGTGACTGGTTTTAACTGACCTGTTGGGTGACTGGTTTTAACTGACCTGTTGGGTGACTGGTTTTAACTGACCCGTTCGGTGACTGGTTTTAACTGACCTGTTGGGTGACTGGTTTTAACTGACCCGTTCGGTGACTGGTTTTAACTGACCTGTTGGGTGACTGGTTTTAACTGACCTGTTCGGTGACTGGTTTTAACTGACCTGTTGGGTGACTGGTTTTAACTGACCCGTTCGGTGACTGGTTTTAACTGACCTGTTTGGTAACTGGTTTTAACTGACCTGTTTGGTGACTGGTTTTAACTGACCCGTTCAGTGGCTGGTTTTAACTGACCCGTTCGGTGGCTGGTTTTAACTGACCCGTTCGGTGACTGGTTTTAACTGACCCGTTGGGTGACTGGTTTTAACTGACCCGTTGGGTGACTGGTTTTGACTGACCCGTTCGGTGACTGGTTTTAACTGACCTGTTGGGTGACTGGTTTTAACTGACCTGTTGGGTGACTGGTTTTAACTGACCTGTTCGGTGACTGGTTTTAACCGACCTGTTCGGTGACTGGTTTTAACCGACCTGTTCGGTGACTGGTTTTAACCGACCTGTTCGGTGACTGGTTTTAACTGACCTGTTCGGTGACTGGTTTTAACTGACCTGTTGGGTGACTGGTTTTAACTGACCTGTTGGGTGACTGGTTTTAACTGACCTGTTGGGTGACTGGTTTTAACTGACCCGTTCGGTGACTGGTTTTGACTGACCCGTTCGGTGAATGGTTTTGACTGACCCGTTCGGTGACTGGTTTTAACTGACCCGTTCGGTGACTGGTTTTAACTGACCTGTTGGGTGACTGGTTTTAACTGACCTGTTCGGTGACTGGTTTTAACTGACCCGTTGGGTGACTGGTTTTAACTGACCCGTTCGGTGACTGGTTTTAACTGACCCGTTCGGTGACTGGTTTTAACTGACCCGTTCGGTGACTGGTTTTAACTGACCTGTTGGGTGACTGGTTTTAACTGACCCGTTCGGTGACTGGTTTTAACTGACCTGTTGGGTGACTGGTTTTAACTGACCCGTTCGGTGACTGGTTTTAACTGACCCGTTCGGTGACTGGTTTTAACTGACCTGTTCGGTGACTGGTTTTAACTGACCCGTTCGGTGACTGGTTTTAACTGACCCGTTCGGTGACTGGTTTTAACTGACCCGTTCGGTGACTGGTTTTAACTGACCTGTTGGGCGACTGGTTTTAACTGACCCGTTCGGTGACTGGTTTTAACTGACCTGTTCGGTGACTGGTTTTAACTGACCTGTTGGGTGACTGGTTTTAACTGACCTGTTGGGTGACTGGTTTTAACTGACCCGTTCGGTGACTGGTTTTAACTGACCCGTTCGGTGACTGGTTTTAACTGACCCGTTCGGTGACTGGTTTTAACTGACCCGTTCGGTGACTGGTTTTAACTGACCTGTTGGGCGACTGGTTTTAACTGACCCGTTCGGTGACTGGTTTTAAATGACCTGTTCGGTGACTGGTTTTAAATGACCTGTTCGGTGACTGGTTTTAACTGACCCGTTCGGTGACTGGTTTTAACTGACCCGTTCGGTGACTGGTTTTAACTGACCCGTTCGGTGACTGGTTTTAACTGACCTGTTGGGTGACTGGTTTTAACTGACCTGTTGGGTGACTGGTTTTAACTGACCTGTTGGGTGACTGGTTTTAACTGACCCGTTCGGTGACTGGTTTTAACTGACCTGTTCGGTGACTGGTTTTAACTGACCCGTTCGGTGACTGGTTTTAACTGACCCGTTCGGTGACTGGTTTTAACTGACCCGTTCGGTGACTGGTTTTAACTGACCCGTTCGGTGACTGGTTTTAACTGACCTGTTGGGTGACTGGTTTTAACTGACCTGTTGGGTGACTGGTTTTAACTGACCTGTTGGGCGACTGGTTTTAACTGACCCGTTCGGTGACTGGTTTTAACTGACCTGTTCGGTGACTGGTTTTAACTGACCTGTTCGGTGACTGGTTTTAACTGACCTGTTGGGTGACTGGTTTTAACTGACCCGTTCGGTGACTGGTTTTAACTGACCTGTTGGGTGACTGGTTTTAAATGACCTGTTCGGTGACTGGTTTTAACTGACCTGTTGGGTGACTGGTTTTAACTGACCCGTTTGGTGACTGGTTTTAACTGACCTGTTGGGTGACTGGTTTTAACTGACCCGTTCGGTGACTGGTTTTAACTGACCTGTTGGGTGACTGGTTTTAACTGACCCGTTCGGTGACTGGTTTTAACTGACCTGTTGGGTGACTGGTTTTAACTGACCTGTTGGGTGACTGGTTTTAACTGACCTGTTGGGTGACTGGTTTTAACTGACCCGTTCGGTGACTGGTTTTAACTGACCTGTTTGGTAACTGGTTTTAACTGACCTGTTTGGTAACTGGTTTTAACTGACCTGTTTGGTAACTGGTTTTAACTGACCCGTTCGGTGGCTGGTTTTAACTGACCTGTTCGGTGACTGGTTTTAACTGACCTGTTCGGTGACTGGTTTTAACTGACCTGTTGGGTGACTGGTTTTAAGTGACCTGTTTGGTAACTGGTTTTAACTGACCTGGTCCTAGTCTTATTGGTGTCTTGTTTCTGTTTTATTTGTGCTGTGTTCAGCTCTTTGGCCCTTGAGGATGATGGAAAGCGCTACACAAATAAAAGCTGATGCTTGAAAACCCAAACTTCAGCGGTTTAGGAGGAGCAACCAAACCAAAATATTCCTTCTTTCTTAAGGAAAATCTAACTGAACACACACATTTCCAGCTGCTGCTGATGTTTTTGTCCCTGCTTCTATTACTCGTTCACCTTTTTGACAGGTTTATGTGTCACTTCTACACTGAAACAATATTTACTTTGGTTTTTTTAACCCAACCTGTGGAAAAGTGAAACCGTTAAAAGTCAAGCCATGGTCCTGGTCTCCGTACCAGCTTTCCTCCTGCAAACAGAGCCATCTTTGTGGAGTTGGAGTGCAAACAGATCTGATGCTCTCCAGGAGTGTGAGAGGTGAAGGTGAAGCGTCCGTCAGAGCCGTACTGACGAGAGAGGATGATCTGGAACGTGGAGGAGACACCTTCAGACTTACACCTCTGCTCTGAACCTCCAGACCTTCCTGTCTGGCTTTACCTTCGTGTCTGGATCCTTGATCTCTACATGCATGCCAAGGCCGGGGGTGGATGGGAGGAAGGAAGTGGTTTGTTTGTCCCACAGCTGAGTCCGGTACTTTCCTGTCACACACACACACACACACGATCATCCACAAATTGGATGCCAGTAATAAACCAGCTTAACATCGGCTGTCCTGTGTTAGGACGGAATATTGGACACATGGATGTAATAATAGTATTTATCTCATAAAATCATCCCAGCAATGAATGAAATATTTAATAAACATTCACATTTATACCCCATCTCCTCTTTGCATTTAAAAGATTGTGTATTCATTTTGATATTTGACAGATCTTTTGTTTAGGTTTGATGGAAATACCTTCGTAAACAGGAAAATGTTTATTTTATTGATAATAAACAACAAGCTAAAGATCAATGGCCAAAAGTTGAATGTTTCCCTTAAATGATCTGAATTTTCAGATATTTAAACGTTATTTCTCCTCAGTGGTGAACAACCCGCAGCTGAAGCCTCCAGAATTTCCTGTCTGACTCGAGTCTCTAATAATAATAATAATAATAATAATAATAATAAACAACTATTGGTGTCATCTGCTGCATCTTTAAACAACCAGCTGTTAGCAAGACGGCTAGTTAGCTGCGTTAAGCTAACCGGCTCACCGATCACCATCGTCTCGTCTGGAATTTCTTCAATGAAGCATTTTTTCTCCGTCTCTCCGATGTGGAAATAAAGCGCGCCGCTGGGGTAAATCCAGGCCACCAGAAGAGAAACCGCTGCGGCAGAGATGGGGAGCATCTTCACCTCCTTCACGTTAGCGGACATCAAAATGCTGCAGCGCACTGACGTCATCTTCCACTACGGAACAAGGAAGGGGCTTTCCTGAGAACGGAGTGTTAACACCCTGGGTTTATACTGACAGGAGAGTTTTTCTCTGCAGCGCTTAAAGATACGATGTGCCACTGGTATTATTTAAATTCACAGCCATTTCGATTTGATCACACGCTTGTAATTTGTCAACTTTTTTATTGTTCATTTGTGTTAATTAAACGTCTTAAAATAAACGACACGTTTTTCGATGTTCGAGTCACGGGTGTTCTGCCTACAAGGCTAAACTGAGGGTGACATATCACGATTTTTCCACGCTAATAACAGTCGAAAAGCTGACAGCTTACCTTTGGTTTGCCTCTGATTTACCTCTGGTAGTCTTAAACTCACGAAGGAAAGGATTCAAAACTGGACACATGCTTTAGGAAGGCCACATGATCCGTTGATGTAGGTCCGTGTTTATGTGAAACCAAAGGCGTCTTCGTTTGCCCAGCCGTTGTTGTGCTATATTAGCTTACTGAGCTAATTAGCTGTATCTCAGCTGTTTGTGTCAGATTGCTCTTTTAAACTCGGTGAAGGGAGTAGTTTGTGAGTCTGAGACTGGCTAATTGTTGTTTACGACATAAAATTTAAAAAGGTAAGACAAGTTTTGTGTCTCTGTTAGCTGTGTGTTAGCTATGTTGTCTAAACAGTATTTAACGTGAGCTTTGCTGAGGTTATCGTGATGTTCTTCATAGCAGACACCTGATCTTACTTTTATGACAATGACAAGGCTGAGGTCCCATAAGAAGAGGTTGATGACCACCTGTTCTCAGGTGTAACTGTTCAGAAGGGCTTCTGGCACCTCGCCAATGAGCCGTGACACAAACCGGTCATATTAAACACAGTTAATTCACATTTAAACTGAAAGTGAAAGTTTCACGTTTCCAGATCCCCAACGGGGCTGAAACGTGTCCAGTCCCCCTAGACGTCATGCTCAGGTCTTACTTACACCTGAAATGTTCACTTGTTCCATGGTGGCTTTTAGGATCGTTTTTCATTTTATTTTTCTTTTAATCACATATTTATGTACTTCTTATTTTAAAATCAAACAGCACAGCCACGATTTGAGCCTGCTGTCTCTCAAATAATAACAATTTTAATTGAACAAGGACAATATTCATACAAGGGAAAAATATACATGCAGGAGATCCTTGTGACTTCCTGTTTTTTCATCTTTATGAGCCATTTGGTATGTTATAGTAATGTGAATTTAACAATAAGAACATGGTGATAACTAGAATTAGAACCATTTGTATTTCTGATATTTTTGTGCATTTGAAAGCGATCGGCTGTAGACTCAGATAATTGCTTGATTGTTCTTTTTTCTAATTTACTTCTGACTTCAGTGTGTAGATTATTGGAAACCATATTTATAAGTAAGGAAGTAGTTAGCGAACCAGGGGAAACTTTTTTCTTACTAGAGCTACAGAAGCAGCAAAAGTTGCTGTTTTGTCTGTTGTTGCATTAGATGACAATCGGAGCGACCACAATAACATAAAAAAAGGAATAGAATAGACTTTATTAATCCCACAGTGGTGAGATTCACTCACTACAGGTGTGACGTCATAAAGCAGTAAAGAAGTGACTGAACTCTGCAGTTTCTGGGATGATTTTCTGTTGGTGGTGAAACAAAAACTGTTCCTGCCTCTGCTGGTTTGAACTGACCTGCAGTGTTGATGGTAACAGGTTTTTTAGTCTTTCTTACCAACGTACACAATATGTTTTAATTTGACTAACAAAAAAGTTTCTCCAATGCCCGTTAAAATAAATGCCACGAAGGCTGGATTTTAGACGTTATTAAAAAATGAGCTAAAAGTGTAACAAGTCTCCAAAGGAAACCAGGAAACAGGTTCAGGAACCGCCAGAGTCTGAGTTCTTCATATGAAGAAGTGAATGGATTAGATCTCTGTAATTCCCAGCCTTTGCTTCTGCAGGAATGGTGCAGCCGCAGCCTGATGGTCCGATGCAGTGGGACATGTCAGGAGAGGACTGCGGGGGGGTCCTCAGGGTCCCACCAGAGTTCGCTGGTAACGAAGTGGTGACCAGATTGTTGTGTGACAACCAGCAGCTTCGAGGTACCTAAAAACACACGACGGTCACGCTTGTGTGTATTACCAGATGCTCAGCGGGGCTTTTAGGTTTCCGTGTGTCTGATTTAGCGTTTTCAGAAGTCGTTTAAGTTTAGAGTTATCGAGGTAAAAGAACAAAGTAAATTCAAACAGTAATTTCAGCCTTTATTGTAACGGTGATTGGATGCAGGAGCGGTGTCCACGACAGGCTGAGTTTATCAGGATCAACACATGCTGCTTTTATGCAGTTCCAGACTTTCCTAGATGACAATCCAATCCTTGAGTTTTTCAGTCTGCTTCTTGTTGTCGGCACAGCTCAGAATCTGCTCTTCTAGCTGTCCGTAGCAACATTTCTTTAGCTGCTGATGCTAAATCGGCAGCGGTTTTGGTTCTACTAGCCCTCTCAGCAGCCTCGACACAATCAACCACCCACTTCCTATCAGAATAGTATGTTGGCATTTGAGGTAGGAGTCGGTGAATCCTGCCTTGCTCAGCTTCAGAGGGTTCTGAGTGCTGCAGCTCGCCTTTTAAGTGGCAATCAAAGGTTTTCCCTCATTTTAGCCTCCCTGCACTGGCTGCTTGTTCATTTTAGGATTGATTTTAAAATGATTTTATTTGCTTTTAAGGCCTTAAATGGCCCGGCCCCTCCCTATCTGTCTGAGCTACTGCATCGCTACACGCCCGCTCGTTCGCTCAGGTCAGCTGATCACAGGAGTAGCTACTCCTCAACACGGATCAGTCACCCACACATTCACACACTGGTGGTGATGAGCTACGACGTAGTCACAGCTGCCCTGGGGCGCACTGACAAGAGGTGAGGCTGCCGAGCACAGGCGCCACCGGTTCCTCCGACCACCACCAGCAGGCAAGGGGGGTTTAGTGTCTTGCCCAAGGACATAACAGCAGCATTCTCTGGTCAGAGTCGGGATCAAGATGGTGAGATTTCATCCATCATGACGTGTCAGAAAGACAGTCTGAGATGTGTGTGGAAATTGTGGGCTCATCCGGCGGGAATGACGGATAGAGCTGGGTGTCGTCAGCATAGTAGTGGTAGGAGAAGCCATGTGATTGAATGATCTCACCCAGTGAGGTGGTGTATATGGCAAAGAGGTGCTAGTACAGAGCCCTGGGGGACTCCTGTGGCAACATGGTGAACAGCAGAAGACTGTCCTAGCCAAGATACACTGAATGATGGTCCTGTCAGGTACGATTCAAACCAGGAGTGTGCTTTCCCTGTGATGTCCACGCTAGAGGGTGTGGACTAAAGGAAGCCATGGTTCACAGTTTCAGATGCAGCCGATTGGTCAAGCAGGATAAGTACTGAGGATTTGGCAGTCGCTGTTAGTCACTGCTAACAGAGCCGTTTCAGTGGAGTGGCCATCTTTTAACCCGGGTTGGTAGAAGAAGGGTCAAGCAGACAGTTTTGTGACAGGTGTTCTAAGATCGGCTTGAAGGCCGCCCTTTCAATGATTTTAGACAGGAATGGGAGGAGAGATAGCTCGGTAGTTCTCCACATGATCTGGAGGAAGGGAAGGTCTTTTAGCAGCAGTTTAACCTGAGCGTGCTTGAGAGAGGTGGGAAGTGAGGTCAGTGAAGCGTTCATCACACGTGTGACTGCAGCAGCTACTGTAGGAGCAACAGATCGGAGCAGCTTTGTCGGAATGGGGTCGAGTGGGCCTGTCGTAGGGCCTAACCCTTGGACACACTTTTCTCAGAGGATGTCCAAATCTGTCTGCCTGTTTAACCGAAGACGGGAAACACGACTGTGAAGTTGTCTAGACCACACCGACATGGCTGTCTGAAAACCTTACTAATGAAAAGACTCCGTTTATTTTGTCGCTGGGCTGCACTGACTTTCAACTCCCTCCAAATATTTCTGTGGGGTTGAGATCTGGAGACTGGCCAAGCCCCTCCTTCGTTACCCGGACGGTGTTTGGAATCACGGTCATGCTGGAAGACCCAGCCGCGTTTCATCTTCAGTGCCCTTGCTGGTGGAAGGAGGTTTTCACTCCAGACATGACCATACACCGCCCCCTTCTGTCCTTTACACGGGTCAGTCGTCCGGGTCCCTGTGCAGACAAACAGCCCAAAGCATTATGATTCCACCCCATGCTTTACAGTAGATGTGGTGTTCTTCAGCATTCTTTCTCCTCCAAACACGCCGAGTAGAGTTCTTACCGAAACGTTCTAATGTGGTTTCATCAGACCACCTGACATTCTCCCAGTCCTCTTCTGGACCATCCAGATGCTCTCGAGCAGACTTCAGCTGGGCCTGCACGTGTACTGGCTTCAGCAGGGGGACACGTCCCTGGTGGCCTTGTTCACTAGGTCCCCCGTCTAGTTCTGGGATTTAACTCTCCGTTATTGTGATTGTTCTGACCCCACGGGGGGAGATCTTGCATGGAGCCCCTGATGGAGGGAGATTATCAGTGGTCTTGTTTGTCTTCCACTTTCTAATAGTTGCTCTCGCAGGTGATTTCTTCACCAAGCTGCCGCGTACCTGTTGCAGATACCAGAGTTGGGACCCACAGTTTGGTTCTGACGTCCTTTGACAGCTCTTTGGTCTTAGCCATAGTGGTCTGGAGTGTGACTGAGGTTGTGGACAGGTGTCTTTACACTGGTAACCAGTTCTAACAGGTGCCATTTGTACAGGTAACGGGTGGAGGACAGAGGAAGTTTTAATAATTGTTCTGTTTCCTTTCATCCATCTGTTCCTCAGAGGCTCTGCGGCGGAGTAACCAGGCCCTGCGTCAGCGCTGTGAGGAGATGGAGGGATGGCAGCGTAAAACCAGGGAGGAGCGGGAGTTTCTCAGCCTTCGTTTCCAGGAGGCCCGGGCCCTGGTGGAGAGACTGGCCCAGGAGAACCACTCCTTACAGAGCATGATGAACGGACCGGGTTCCTCCTCTAACCTCTCCGGCAGCTCCAGCCAGACTGAAGACCTACAGGGACGCCCGTCCAGAAACGGGCTGGTGGACGGACCACAGGTTAGCACGCTCCAGCGAGAGAGAGGAAGCTGTAAGAAAACGTTAAAACCTTCAGCCCGACTCCCTCTGAGTCGTTGAGTAAAGTGCTTTAGCGCACGTCCAAGTGTCTTTTTGTGGGAGCTGGTCCTCAAAGCGTCTCAGGCCCTTTTCAGCAGCTCATCTCAGGGCTAGCTCGTCTCAGGGCTAGCTCGTCTCGGGGCTAGCTCGTCTCGGGGCTAGCTCGTCTCGGGGCTAGCTCGTCTTCTGGCTAGCTCATCGAGCTCCGAGGCTCTAAAACGCTGAAAGTGAAGACGGACGTGAAGCTCGCCGAAGACGAGTTGTAATCTTCTCTCACAAAATAACTTTTGCTGCTGTTGGAAAAGCAGCCTTGCCTAACCGTGACCGTGTGTTGGCATCAGAATGTGTTTAAAAGGAACGGACCGTCCGTGGTACGTAACAAACGGGATTAGAAACAGCGTGTTAGCCTCGTTCACTTGCATTCATTGTGTCTTCATTCTGGGGACCGTGGTCCAGAAGTAGAAGGGTTAGGGTTAGGCTGCCGACGGGGAGATGTGGTTGTTCAGTCAGGATGGAGCCAGTAAAAACTGCAGCTGTCAAAAGAAATACAGCAAACGTTTGTAATCAGTACGCTGCTCTTGAGTATCAGGATGCTTCTGTGAGGCTGAAGCAGCCGATGGACTTGGTGCTCTTCTAATCGGAAGTCTGGTTTATGTTTCCAGACTCTGGACCAGTGGGAGAGGAAACGGGTCGATGAATCAGAACAGCAGACTCAGACCACCCCGCTCCGCAGCCTGGTGAGCTGGTCCCGTGTGCCGTAGCCCCGCCCACTCTCTGACATCCCCACCTCATATTATGGTCTGTAGAATAATGTCAGACTGCTTCAAACAGCAGCAAACATGAATATTATTTAAAACACAGTTTTATGACTTGACTCAGCTAAATAAACGAGGTCCCGCCCATAAAACAGACCGACAGGACGATGGCGGTAGGACCACGAGTGAAATGGAATGGGTCCTGAACCAGTGAAATGGGCTGAAGTTGGTTTTAGATGACATGTGTGCTTCCCCCTTCAGCCTGTGGAGGGCGCCAACGAGTTCCTGCAGCTGCTGAAGAGCCACAAAGAGAAAACAGAGGAAGGGACGAGAGAACTGAAGAGGAAGACCGAAGAGCTGGAGAGGAGAAATGAGGAGCTGATGAAGAAGATGGCGGAGGGAGAGGAAGACAAAGAGCAAATGCGGCGTTGCATCGACCATCTTCGATCCAAACTGCTGCAGGCGCAGGTGACGCTGTGATCTGAGCATGCTCAGACTTCTCTACGTAGTTTTATTTATGTTTTACATTACGCTGTAACTCCGCTCCGGTCCTGGAGGTCCGGTATCCGGCACGTTTTGGCTTTAACTCTGCTCCAGCACAGCCCCTGATGAGCTGCTGCACAGGTGAATCAGGGAAACCACTAAAACGTGCTGCATACCGGACCTCCAGGACTGGAGTTGAATACCCCTGTTCTAGCACCTCCCCTATGTGTGCGTGTGTTTTACAGGCTAGCGGCGGCGCCGAGGAAACCGTTCTGCTTCGCTCTGAGGCGCAGCATTCCTCCGACTGGTACGACACCGTCCACCGTCCCGCGTCCCAAACCCGCTCTGACCCGAACTCTAGCTGCTGGATAACTCTGATGCAGATTACAGATGCTAGCATGCTACTTCTCTCTTCTGCTTAACTAAAACCTTTAAAACTCCTTCTCCTCCTCCTCCTCTTCCTCCTCCTCTTCCTCCTCCTCTTCCTCCCCCTCCTCCTCTTCCTCCTCCTCTTCCTCCTCCTTTTCCTCCTCCTCTTCCTCCCCCTCCTCCTCTTCCTCCTCCTCTTCCTCCCCCTCTTCCTCCTCCTCCTCCTCCTCTTCCTCCTCCTCTTCCTCCCCCTCCTCCTCTTCCTATTCCTCTTCCTCCTCCTTTTCCTCCTCCTCTTCCTCCCCCTCCTCCTCTTCCTCCTCCTCTTCCTCCCCCTCTTCCTCCTCCTCCTCCTCCTCCTCCCCCTCCTCCTCCTCTTCCTCCTCCCCCCCCCCCTCCTCCTCCGTCTCTTTTTGTCCCTTTTCCAGTTTGGGCTTGGCTAAGCTCACAGAGCAGCTCCAGGCCACTCAGGGCAGGTGAGCCCGCAGCTCCTCTTCCTCTCGCTGTCTTCGTGCCGTCCTGCTCGTCGTTCTGTGTTTTGCTGTTGCTCGTCCATCACGCGTGCTGCAGATTGTTCTGGTTGATGAACCGCTCTAATGACAGTCGCTTGAGTGTGTCGCTGCAGCTGGAAGTGACGCACGAGTTTCCTCTGCAGGTACCGGGAGTTGGAGGAGAAGCTGGACTACCTGCAGAAGAGCTCGGCCCAGCGAGACAGAACCGAAGCTCTGCTCAAGCAGAAGGACAAGGACTGTGCCCAGGTAGGACAGTCTGAGTGTGGAGCTTCAGCTGGTGGCTCTGGTTTGGTGGTTTAAGCTGCGTCTGCTTTTGCAGCTCTCCAAAGACTGTGAGACTCTGAAGGTGCAGGTAACCTCCCTGTTAGGAGAACTGAACGAGAGGCAGAGCTGCCTGGAGAAAAGCGATCACGAGCGCAAAATTCTGGAGGAGAAGTGAGCAGCTGCATCGTGTCAGCATCCCTGTAAACACGGAGCCTTCTCTGATGCTTGGGCTGTGGGTTTTGCTCCTGTTTGCTCCAGGCTGGTCAGCAAGGTGAAGTCCTTGCAGGCAGCAGAGCGGGAGCTGGAGCAGCTGAAGAAGCAGCACCATGTGGCCAAGGACAAGCTGCTGCTGCAGGTCCAGAGCTTGGAGCAGGCGCTGAAGACGGAGAGACACGTCGTGACCGAGGAGAGGTGGCTTCCCGCTGCGATAGCGACATTCCCATCAGAAAGGGCGTGTGTGTGGAGAAGCTGAGCGTTTCTGTTTCCTGTCCCCTCAGGAAGAAGCTGACGCAGCTGCAGCACGCCTACACCTGCTTGTTTAGAGACTACGATGCCAAACTGAAGAATGAGGTGAATAAAGTCGCAGACACACGCCCAGCGTTGCTTCTGTTGTGCCGACTCTGGTCTCTCCTACAGGAGGGAGATCTCAGCAGCCGACTGGAGGAGGCGGAGCGAGCGCTGGCGCTCAAGCAGGACACCATCGATAAACTGAAGGAGGAGGTGGAGCAGCAGAAAGGCTCGCTAGAAACCGTCCCTGTCCTCACTGCACAGGTCGGGTCACTCTCTCTCCTCCTGTCTGCACCGCTTTACTTCACCAGGCTCCGCCCTGGTGTCTACACACTCCAGCTGTTTCAGGTCCTTACTCTGGCTTTACAGGACGGAAGGGACACCGTCACCATTGGTTTTAAAGTCACAGATTAAAGGGATCCTGTGCAGGTCAGCTTGCCTTTAGCACCCCCTAGTGCCTGAAACGCGTCAGTGTAACAGCTGGAACGTCTCCTCAGCCTTCGTTAGCATCTGCAGGAGCGGTTCCTCGCTAAAGCCAACCACTCAGCTGAGCTGGTGGTCTAAAACGTGCCGAAGCAGCTGCAGCGCCAGCAGCTCAGCTCTACTGCACCAGCAGCCCGGATCGACGTTCTGAGGTGATGAGTGACGTTTTGGGCGGTGGGGTGGGAGAGACATTCGTTAGGCCTGTGAGGGTCGTTTAGCGCATACTGGCTCAAGGAGATGAGGTGAAGGTGAAAAGGTTGCTCTCTGCTGCGGCGCCTGCAGTTGTGCTAAATGCTGCAGCCCGTCTGCCAGCGGGACTCGGCGCTCTGAGCACATCACCCCCTTCTGCCTGCTGCTTTTAGGATGGATTTAAATGTTTAAACGGACAGGCACCTCCTTACCTACCAGAGATTCTGAACTAGCATGGTCCTACGAGACGTTTGAGGCCTTTAGAGTCCCAGGACTCGTCTAGTGACCCGAGGGGACGGGACCGGCTCTGCTGTGGGCCCAGACTGCAACAATCTGTCCCTGCCACGAGGACGGCGGAGTCTCTGAATGAGTTTAGCTTGGCTTTAGTCTCAGGTGAGCGTGTTGGTCCTGTCGTCATGGTACTTACTGTCTGGCTTGTACTGGACAGCCTGTGGCCGCTCTGCTGTGGAAAGGCTGGTCGTCTCTTTAAAGAGCTACTTGCTGGTTAAACCCGCGTGCAGAGACACATGACAGGAGCTCCGTCTAAACAAAAATGGACACATGCATAAATGATTTAGGCTTTTGGACTCGTCTTTGTGAGAAAAACCTTTTTCCTGCCTAACCAGACGCGGCGCAGGCAGAGGGAGTCCCGTTAGCCGGCTCCAGAGAAAGAAACCGACTCTGATGCTGCTTCTGACACACAGGAAGTGTCTAATTCTGCTCATGATGGACCACAACATGGGACAGCAGCTCAGGAGGTAGAGCGGGTCGTCCAGTAATCAGAAGGTTGCAGGTTTGATCCCGGCTCGTGCTGTTGTGTCCTTGAGCAACACACTTAACCCACCCTGTGTGCTGGTGGTGGTCGGAGGGACCGGTGGCGCCTGAGCTCAGCAGCCTCGCCTCCGTCAGCGCGCCCCAGGGCAGCTGTGGCTACATGGCAGCTCCTCACCACCAGCGGGTGAACGAGTGCTTGTGTGTGTGTGTGTGTGTGGGGGGGGGGGGGGGGGGGGGGGGTGTGTAGAAGACAGCCACACCGGTACGAGCCTGCTGCGCGCCCCACAAAGCAGACGAGCCAGAGGGAGAAACCATCGCTGTGCTGTCAGAAGGTTCTGTGGAGCGCAGGGCAGAGAACGATGCTAGCTAAACTGGTGTGCTAACATCACTATGTTGTACGGATTACGAGTGTTTGACTCGGGAATATCCGAACTTGTAACAGAGCTCGGCACTTGAGAGAGCGAGACGGCTCACTTCCTGTTCTGGAGCTCAGGGCGGGCGGTCCTGAGTTGGGTCTGGTGCTGACCGGCTCCAGCAGCCCGCCGGGTATTTTTAAAAGCCTCACTTCCTGTTCTGGAAGATGGGAGGCTTGTTGATCTCCATCAGATCGCTGGGATTGTAATCCTCTGGTCCGAAGTGGGCACCACTACCGACCCCTGGAACGGAAGATGGTGCGTTTTTCCTTCTGGGAAACCCGTGGACTCGATGTCCGGAGACGCTGAAGTGCAGCCTCCACAAACGCTAAAGTTCACCTTCTTAGGAACGTGTAAACAAGTGAACACACACACACACACACCCTGACTGGATAACAGCCGCTCTACCCTAAAACTACCTACTGGCCACACTGAGCTTCAGGCAGGACTAGCTGATGACTCCCCTGGTTATAATCTCTCAGCTCAGCCAGCAGCACGGTGAGGTTTTACCCCGTGAGGCGGAAAATATCTAAGTGGTCGGATATTCACCTCAGCGTCTCGTGAGACGGAAACCTCAGTGAAAATCAGGCGCACACGGCGAGTTTCTGCTGAGCTGACGGCCGTTCGAGGCCGTTTGCTGAGCAGTTGGCTCTCGTGTGCGGCAGGCTGCAGCCACATGTTCATGTAGCAAAACCTTATTAAGTATCTGAGCTCTGCTGATGTCTGGGTTGTAAAACGTGGTTTAATGAGCTAGAGATCACTCATACAACCATCCCACGCCCGTGTGCTGATGTACGATGCCCGTGTGTGACCGCAGCTCTCGGCGGTCCAGAGAAGAGGCGGCCAGGTTGGTGATGTCACCAGATGGGAGTGGCTCCTCGTTCTCACTGGCCATAAGATGCCACCAGGTCTGCTAGTCAGGCGTTCCACGTCTGATGAGTTGTTGCGTCTGATTCTCACAAACGTTGCAGAGAGGCTTTGAGCACGAGGTCCAAGTGCTTTGCTCACTGGGAGGCGGAGTAGAACTGGCTAGTCCAGGAAGTGACCTAGCTTTAGTTAACTACTGCTGACAAATTTAGACAGATGAACAAGTTTTAACGGCGCTACCAGAGCACCTGGTTCACGTTAACGTTGGTGTGAAGCAGAAACGTTGTAATGATTATTGGTGAGGTGGTGATGTTACCGTGTTCACGCTGATGGATTAAAATCATCAAATACAAATCTGGTGTCAGTTCAGATCTGAAATAAATCCTCACAGGAAAACTGTTCATGTTGACCCATCATTCACTAATGCCACGTATAGGATGCATTATTCAAACACTTGCAGCCCGACCTCCCGAGCAGGCGGTGTGAGAAGGAGACCGGATGTCCAAACGGGTGCTAAGAGGAGCCAGAAGCAGCAAACTTAATCTCTTAGAGATGTGAGCGTGTTGTACTCCGTTACTGACCCATCAGGAACATGAGACGACCCAAGAAGAGGTCTGATCAGCGCAGCTGTTTAAAACTCCTGATTTTACACATATTAAAGTTTCTGTGTGTTTAGCTTAACCGATGACGTCCGATAACTGTTCCATGGTTTTACCCAGGTGACCATAAACCAGCCTGAAGAAGACAAATGACCTTCTGCCTCTTCCTGCATGTTTCAACAGGCTGAGATCTACAAGGCAGATTTCCTCGCAGAGCGGGAAGCGAGAGAAAAGCTGAACCAGAAGAAAGAGGAGCTGCAGGAACAGCTCACGCAGTCCTTGGCTGAGAACGACCGGCTGAAGCAGGAAGCCCTGTCACGGTCAGCAGCTGATGTCATCACACGCAGGCTCATTTGTTCTCTCTGATAATTCTGCTAAACCAGTCTTTAGATCCACAAAACCAGCTTAAGTTGTTCAAAAGTCTAAATCTTTATTTAAATGATACGTGACAAACCAGAGTTGTGTCATAGCGAAAGACGAGTGTTAAATAAAGCTTTTAGGCGTCTTACCAGCACGAACGTCACCAAAGACAACAGAGTTTCCGCTGATTCCCGCAGTGATGATGCACCTTTCAGGTGTCATCTGCTGTCTAACGACGGTCTGACACCTGCGTCTGTTTCAGGGAGCGAATGGAGCAAATGAAGCTGAGACACATGAAAGACTTCCAACCTCGACCCCTCCACATCCCGCCCCCACAAGGTACTCGTGCTGTTACTGTTCCTCCAACAGACATGTACACGTAGACGTCTCGTGGACTGGCGCTGCTGTAGTGACCGGCCACCATCTTGGATGGGTCTCCATTCGCCCCCAGTGTATTTATGTGCTTACCTATTTAAAACACTTAAGCTCTTTTACAAAATCAGATGCATAGTATGGTATGATCATTAAAATATAAATATAATTAAACAAAAGTAATAAAAGTATAAAATCCCAACAGGTAGGCTAGAAAAGTCGATTGTGCTCTGATCTGTAATCGTTAGCACGCCGGTTGTAGCAGCCGTAGGCTGCACGTAAAACGGGCGTAGTGGCTCACTCTGTTGACTCCAGTTGGATTTGGAGGGTGAGGGACCCATCCAATATGGTGGCAACACTTAAACCCCCTCCAGCGCACCAATGGGGCATCTACATATTCATGTCTAAGGATCCTCCAGCCAACACGAACCATCACTTGGTGCAGATGTTAAGATGTTCTCTTCCTCTGTTGCATCAGGAGTGTTTCCTGGTGGAGCCTTCAACACAGTGCCGGCCGCCCCCTCCTTCAGGAACCAGGCTTTGGTGCCGGTCAGTGACCAGGGTGCAGCAGGAAACGAGGAGCTGCCTGATCTATGTTGTCCCAAGTGCCATTACTTGGCTCCAGACATGGATACACTGCAGATACATGTCATGGACTGTATACAGTAGCCCGAGCAGGGGGTCGGGGACACAGATTTGCAGTATATTTGCCTCCAGCTCTGAGCACAGACTGTTTGGTTGCACCTTACCCACACGTCCATGCAGAGACGGATTACAAACCTGACTCCAGTGTGGATCCTAATGTTCAAAATTAAATGTGTTCAGGTTAATAGAAGGCAATCGGAACGCCTAACGATAACCATCATATTCCCAATTCTGCTGTAGCTTTCCCATCTCATCTGTTTTTCCCAACACCTGACCTTGTATATCCTGATGCTCCATCCCATGAGTTGCTGTTTTGTACATGACTCCATCTCCTTTCTCCTTTCCCTTCTCCGTTTCTTCATGCAGGAAATAAGCCCCACGCCAGAGTAAATGTGTAAACTCTGATCACATCTTCCATCGAACATATCAGTATGTATTGGACCTAAACAAAATGTGACGAATCAGAGGTGTTTTTAAGGAGGTGAAAATGCATGCGAAGACTTAGCTTTAATAGTGATGAAATTTTTATCATGTTTTGGTTGAAAATGTAGCTTTTTGCATTACCTCCAAACCTGATTTATGTATTAGAGATGGGTTTGCTCTGGTTGAAAACAGTGGCCACTCTGTATGGATGCTTCAGCTTAACCCACCGCGGTCCGTGTGCCCTTTATGCTGTCTTACCTGCTATTTATCTATATGAATGTAAACCTAAACTCATCGAGGCTCCTTTTCGGTTTGTGATGTTTGTAATGAAGGATTATTTGTTGCAAATAGTCAAACTAACCCTGGGAATTCACTAAATAAATCACTTATTAAATATTTTTTTCCACTGAATTCTCCATCGGTTGACCGTACCACCAACGATGTGTAGCGCTAGTGTAGAGAAAAAGCATTAAGGGCTTTCCCATTTGTTTGTTTACTTTTATATTTATTGACATTTGTATGTTGGCCTAAAATGATTTTTTTTTTCTGTTTGGTCCCTTTAAACAACAAAATTTAAACAAAAAAATGCTACATTTGTGGTAAGCTAGTCTGACTCCTCTAACGGGAGCAGATGGTACAGTCCAACCTTTCTCTTTGCCTCGCGCTCGCGCTGCGTCATGAAGTGTGGCCGGAAAACTTGTGATTTCAAATTAAAGCTCATACAGCTTTCTTATTAATATCGTCTAATATTGAGGGGATTTTATTTTATAGTAGGAATTTAATTGCTATGAAAATCTTCTGTATTTGCGCGTCTTGCATAAGGACCAGAATCTTTAAAATGTCTCAGAGTTTCACCCGGAAGTCGAGCTGATTTTATTTTGAAATCGGGCCTCTCTCCACACAGCGCGCGACACACGGACGCTGTTATGTCTTTACTCTCCAGACTCAGACCTGTGACCCGCATTGTGTTTAGAGCCCGTCTCCTGGCATCCATGTCAAGTTCAAGCCCCCCACCACCTCCGGTGGAGGCTGCGGGTCCCGCGGCGTGTTTCCCCCTCGGATACAAGCCCTTTAAACCCGAAGAACACGGTCTGGATCGCGGCTTTCGTCTAACAGCCTTCTCGGAAATGAAAGGATGAGGGTGCAAGGTCCCACAGGAGGCTCTGCTCAAGCTCCTGTCGGGACTGGATCCGGACCGAGCCGATGGTTCGGTGAAGTCCGAGGATCAAGCTGGGGAGTTGGGCCAACATTTGTCCGGCCCGCGGCTCGGTAAGGGTTAGGGACGGACTAGAACCCCCGTGGAGCCAGAACCAGAGTTAGCTAACGAACTGTTGCTAATCTTGTTAGCTTGCAGGTAGCCTGGGTCAACTGGTTTGACTGAGTTATCTTGTTAATTATCATCCACGTCATAAAACACACAAACGGAAACCAACTGCTGGTTTAATGTCGGGGAGCTTCGGATTCTGAGCATGAATCAGCAGAATTGGGTCTGATGCTCGGAGTTCAAAGTTCTGCTCGGTTCTGCTTCAGTGAAGCTTTCCGTGTAGTTTGGTCTTTACCCGAGAAGAGGAGCTCATGTTTCCGGTTTGTTTTAGGGATCGGGATGGACAGCTGCGTGATTCCTCTCAGACATGGAGGTCTGTCTCTGGTCCAAACCACAGATTTCTTCTACCCTCTGGTAGAAGATCCATACATGATGGTGAGTTTCCTTCCATCAGCCTGGCAGAGAGAATGTTCCTAAGAAGGTGTTTTCTGCTCCGGAACATCCAGGTGTGTGTCAACGAAGAGGGCTGACCTTAGTCAAGCAGTCTGCCTTGTTCTAGTTAATTACCTCTAGGTCTGTAGGAGCAGGTTTCACAACATGAAGTCACGTGGGTGGATTTGAAACACATCATCTGATAATCTGCCTCTTCCTGGTGGTTGCATCCCATGACCCCCCCCCCCCCCCCCCCCCCCCCCCGAAGTCACACTCCTGACCCAAATCCAAGGAAAGTGTGTGACAAGTCTTCAGCTTATGAGAGGAGTCAAACTCTTGTTTACCCAAATATTTAAAATGGAAGATTAGAGAAATTAAAAAAGTATATAAAGTAAAATAAATGTTCTTACTGAAGACTGAATTCTGTCCTCAGCGTCTAAAACGAGACGTTTTAACCGAAACTGAAACAAAGACCCACAGTAGGAACTTGTTGTCTGGTCCCAGGGCAGGATCGCTTGTGCCAACGTCCTCAGTGACCTCTACGCCATGGGAATCACAGAGTGTGACAACATGCTGATGCTGCTGAGCGTCAGTCAGAAGATGAATGAGAAGGTACTGTTGCGTCCGGTTTAAAGAGCTTCCTGTTCATCGATGTCCCGTTCTTACGTGGTTCTGACTGTGGGACAGGATCGGGAGAGAGTGATGCCGCTGATGATGAGGGGGTTTCGGGACGCAGCAGAGGAAGGAGGAACGTCGGTGACCGGAGGTCAGACGGTGGTTAACCCCTGGATCATCGTGGGAGGCGTGGCTTCTGTGGTCTGTCAGCCCAACGAGTTCATCATGTGAGTCCGGGTGACCTGGGAACATCCGGACTGGATTCATCAGATCTGTCCCGGCTTCAGAGGAAACTTAACTTCTCACCTCCAGATTTAAGCTTGAATCATTGAGAAGCAGGTCTTGTTTTTACGAGTCATAAATGATTTACTTCAGACGGTTCAGTAAAATCCTCTCTGGCTGCTTTCTGCTGACATGTTTGTAGTTTTCAGGCTGGAATCCTGTCAGAAGTTCTGGTTCCAACTCAGTTCCTGTTCGTTTTTGTAGGCCTGACGGAGCGGTACCGGGAGATGTTCTGGTTCTGACCAAACCTCTGGGGACTCAAGTGGCTGTGAACGCCCACCAGTGGCTCGATCAGGTCCCAGACTCATTTCTCTCTTATCACTTCTAATCAGTGTTGGGAACGTCTTATAGTTACTGATTACTTTGTCAAAAAAGTAACACAGTTACTTAGTGTTATTAGTTTAGATTATTAAAGTAACTAATTACCAAGAAAAATATTTTGTTACTTTTTTCATTAAAGAATGCCAGAAAAATGTGTTCCCCTCCTAATTAAACTTACTTAATTTACTATAAGTTACTACAATACTGAAGTATAAATGTCTACAGTACTGAAGTGTAAGTTACTACAATACCAAAGTATAAATGTCTACAGTACTGAAGTATAAGTTACTACAATACTGAAGTATAAATGTCCGCAGTACTGAAGTATAAGTTACTACAATACTGGAGTATAAGTTACTACAATACTGAAGTATAAATGTCTGCAATACTGAAGTATAAGTTACTACAATACCAAAGTATAAATGTCTACAGTACTGAAGTATAAGTTACTACAATACTGAAGTATAAATGTCTACAGTACTGAAGTATAAGTTACTACAATACCAAAGTATAAATGTCTACAGTACTGAAGTATAAGTTACTACAATACTGAAGTATAAATGTCCACAGTACTGAAGTATAAGTTACTACAATACTGGAGTATAAGTTACTACAATACTGGAGTATAAGTTACTACAATACTGAAGTATAAGTTACTACAATACTGAAGTATAAATGTCTACAGTACTGAAGTATAAGTTACTACAATGCTGGAGTATAAGTTACTACAATACTGAAGTATAAATGTCCGCAGTACTGAAGTATAAGTTACTACAATACTGGAGTATAAGTTACTACAATACTGAAGTATAAATGTCTGCAGTACTGAAGTATAAGTTACTACAATACTGAAGTATAAGTTACTACAATACTGAAGTATAAATGTCTACAGTACTGAAGTATAAGTTACTACAATACTGAAGTATAAGTTACTACAATACTGAAGTATAAGTTACTACAATACTGAAGTATAAGTTACTACAATACTGAAGTATAAATGTCTACAGTACTGAAGTATAAGTTACTACAATACTGAAGTATAAATTTACTATAAGTTACTACAATACTGAAATATAAATGACTACAACACTGAAGTATAAGTTACTACAATACTGAAGTATAAATGTCTACAGTACTGAAGTATAAGTTACTACAATACTGAAGTATTAACTACTGCAGTACTGAAGTGTAAGTTACTACAATACTGAAGTATAAATGCATACAGTACTGAAGTATAAGTTACTGCAATACTGAAGTATAAATGCCTACAGTACTGAAGTGTAAGTTACTACAATACCAAAGTATAAATGTCTACAGTACTGAAGTATAAGTTACTACAATACTGAAGTATAAATGTCCGCAGTACTGAAGTATAAGTTACTACAATACTGGAGTATAAGTTACTACAATACTGAAGTATAAATGTCTGCAGTACTGAAGGATAAGTTACTACAATACTGAAGTATAAACTACTACAATATTGAAGTATAAACTACTACAATATTGAAGTATAAACTACTACTGTACTGAAGTATAAGTTACTACAATACTGAAGTATAAGTTACTACAACACTGAAGTATAAATGACTACAACACTGAAGTATAAATGACTACAGTACTGAAGTATAAGTTACTACAGTACTGAAGTATAAGTTACTACAGTACTGAAGTATAAATGACTACAGTACTGAAGTATAAGTTACTACAATACTGAAGTATAAGTTACTACAACACTGAAGTATAAACGACTACAGTACTGAAGTATAAGTTACTACAGTACTGAAGTATAAGTTACTACAGTACTGAAGTATAAGTTACTACAATACTGAAGTATAAGTTACTACAACACTGAAGTATAAACAACTACAGTACTGAAGTATAAGTTACTACAGTACTGAAGTATAAGTTACTACAGTACTGAAGTATAAGTTACTACAGTACTGAAGTATAAATGACTACAGTACTGAAGTATAAATGACTACAGTACTGAAGTATAAGTTACTACAATACTGAAGTATAAGTTACTACATTACTGAAGTATAAGTTACTACAGTACTGAAGTATAAACGACTACAGTACTGAAGTATAAGTTACTACAGTACTGAAGTATAAACGACTACAGTACTGAAGTATAAGTTACTACAGTACTGAAGTATAAGTTACTACAACACTGAAGTATAAACAACTACAATACTGAAGTATAAGTTACTACAACACTGAAGTATAAACAACTACAGTACTGAAGTATAAGTTACTACAGTACTGAAGTATAAGTTACTACAGTACTGAAGTATAAGTTACTACAGTACTGAAGTATAAATGACTACAGTACTGAAGTATAAGTTACTGCAGTACTGAAGTATAAGTTACTACAGTACTGAAGTATAAGTTACTACAGTACTGAAGTATAAGTTACTACAGTACTGAAGTATAAGTTACTACAGTACTCAAGTATAAGTTACTACAGTACTCAAGTATAAGTTACTACAATACTGAAGTATAAATTACTACAACACTGAAGTTTAAATGACTACAGTACTGAAGTAAAAGTTACCTGAGCCTTTAGATGGTCTCTCAGTCTAGTTACATGTTATAATTATGTGTTTTAGCAGCATTTCTGTTGCTGCTGATCTAGTAACGGTTAAATAAAATCCTTTAAAGTGACACTAGAAGATCTGCTGGAGGACGTAAACGTTCTAACGTGGGTCAGACCCAAACACAGAAGAGCTGAAGCTGGGTGGTGAACACACGCAGGTAGTTCTGATAACACCTGAGCTCCATGCCGTGTGAGACTGATGCATCAGTGTTGCAGCGGGACTGAAGACATTTCTAGTAACGCCGTCATTCCCGTCGCTGCTTCCAACACGAGTGTGTCCTCGTTTTCCTTCCGTCAGCGTCCAGCCCAAAGCTCAGATGGAACGTTTTAGCGTAACAAACCCGTCTTAAACGGCTCTTTGCTTCGTTCTGGAGGTTCTGGAGGTCCGGGTTGTAATTCTGATGCGACCTGGAAAACCGTCCTGCAGACGTTCATTAAACCTTTCTGGTTTCCTTCAACAGCCCGAAAAATGGAACCGGATCAAGCTGGTTGTCACCAAAGAAGAAGTCAAAGAGGCGTACCAGGAAGCCATGTTCTCCATGGCAACGCTGAACCGAACAGGTATGACTGCTGCCTCTGAAGACGGGTTCTGGTCCAGTTAGTCTGATCCGACCCGTTTGTGGTTCTGTTTCAGCGGCCCACCTGATGCACAAGTACCAGGCCCACGCTGCCACGGATGTGACGGGCTTCGGTTTGTTGGGTCACGCCAACAATCTGGCAGCGCAGCAGAAACATGAGGTGGCCTTCGTCATCCACAACCTGCCAATCATCGCCAAGATGAGCGCCATCAGTAAAGCGGGCGGGAACCTGTTCAAGCTGCTGCAGGGCCGATCAGCAGAGACCTCCGGTAGGAACCAGAACCAGGACCAGGACCTGCCACTGATATTTTCATTTCTCAAATATTAATAATAGAAATTCACAATTTAATTTCCATTCATTTGTCGTTAAAGCCCCAGTGTGTAATATTTTACCTGTTTACTATAAATCCTGTTTCCAGTTCACAAACTTCTCCTTTTTAATTAACATTTCTCAACAACATCAAGTCTAAATATTCCTCTCAGCTGTAAAGTTTACATTTTAAATACATAAACATAAACATAAAGTTTACATTTTAAATACATAAACATAAAGTTTACATTTTCAAGAAACTCCTGAAGACCCTGCTCGTCAGAGAGCATCTTCTTAACTAGCACCCTCCCTGCACCCGTCCCCCCTCTCTACCGTCCACTCCTTGTTCCCTCCTCTCCATGACTGATGTCCAGCTGTTGTTGTTGTTGTTGTTGTTAGCCTTAAGGGCAACATGCCGATTATCACTTGTAAGTCGCTTTGGACAAAAGCGTCTGCTAAATACATAAACATAAACAAAGTTTACATTTTAAATACATAAACTGTGGTCGACGCTCCGTGGTCATCCACCATCTTGAAATTCAGTAGCTGTTGAGGGACATACGAGCTCCGGTTTGTGCGTTTGGACTATGACTGTAACCTGAAAGAACCAGCAGAGGGCAGCAGTGCGCCCTGGAAGCCTGGAGTCTGCTAATTCAACTCAGAAATAGAAAAGAAGAGCGACACCGCTGCTGTTCTTGTTAGTTTGAATAAAAAATTGTTCCATCAAAAGACTAGCTGCATGTGTCGGTACCAGAACTCCTGACCCGGTCCCAACGTGTCGGTACCAGAACTGACCAAAACGCTTCACAGAATTAAAACACGTAAAAACTGAAACATAAAACACGTAAAAACTGAAACATAAAACACGTAAAAACTAAAAGGTAAACCCTTAAAAACTGAAAAGTGAAACGCGTAAAAACTGAAAAGTGAAACGCGTAAAAACTGAAAAGTGAAACGCGTAAAAACTGAAACGTAAAACACGTAAAAACTGAAACGTAAAACACGTAAAAACTAAAAGGTAAACCCGTAAAAACTGAAAAGTGAAACGCGTAAAAACTGAAAAGTGAAACGCGTAAAAACTGAAAAGTGAAACGCGTAAAAACTGAAAAGTGAAACGCGTAAAAACTGAAAAGTGAAACGCGTAAAAACTGAAAAGTGAAACGCGTAAAAACTGAAACGTAAAACGCGTAAAAACTGAAACGTGAAACGCGTAAAAACTGAAACGTAAAACGCGTAAAAACTGAAACGCGTAAAAACTGAAACGTGAAACGCGGAATGACACACGAAAAAACAAACACGTAAAAACTGCGATCCCTGCCTACGTTAACGTTGCCTTCGCGTGCAGGTAGCATGGCAGCCCACACACAACAGGAGTGGATAATTTATGCAGATTTTAAGCTCACAACACACAAAGTGCTTCTGTTTATACAACTAGCTATCCCATCATGCAACGCTACAGCACCCGATACGTCACCTGATAAACCGATGAGGACTGTTGTTGCAGAACCGTAAACCCATCACTGACCTCTGACCTCCCTGCAGGTGGGCTGCTGGTGTGTCTACCGAGGGAACAGGCAGCAAAGTTCTGCTCAGAGATGAAGAGCCTCAGTTCAGCAGCAGGAGGAACTTCTAACGGAGCGTGGATCATTGGAATCGTGGAGAAAGGCGAGCGATGCGCTCGGATCATCGAAAAGCCTCGGATCATTGAGGTGCCCCCCCGAGGGAGCCAGGCGGCTAACCAGGAAATCAGTGCCAGCAGCCCAGACCCCAGCAGCACCTTGTCCTAGAGCCAGAACTCTTGTGACTGATGTTCAGATCAGTTTCAGACCCCTTTGTGATGTCATCAGTGGAGGATGCCCTCACCTGTTTCCACCTTTTCTTTAAATTCTTTATTTAAACTTTCTGGGATATTTTGGATGAAACGGATCATTGATGCATGAGTGATGTGGAAAATAACCGGCACCTGGCTCTGCCTGCGTCCACCTGGAAGGTTTGAGCAGCTTCCTGTGTGACCAGCAGGGTGGCGCCCAGGAGTTCTGCTTCTGACAGCTGATTGGCCATCCAGCACAAAGCCCCTCCCACTTTTCCTCTTTAATGAAGCTCTGCTTTTCAACCCCCAAACCTGGGCTAGGTGGAGCTGATGTTTGCCTCTGGATTAGAGGTGGGGCTGACCGTGCTGGAGGTCACAGCTGTGTGTTTGTAGATGTTCTTGTTTTCACAATCAATAAAATCAACGACTGACTAAAAACTCTTGGTGTTTAATGCAGTTATGTCCAGATGGGCTGGTAACGCATCTGCTCACCTAAACCAGCCCTTTGTGCAGCAGGAAGCCACACCAGGAGGCTGTAGGGTCAGAGGTCTTTGGAGGCAGCGTGTTGATGATACGGGCCGTCCCAGACTAAAGCTGATATAATTATACTTATTAATAACGCTGACATCAGTGGAGTCAGACGCTCCGGGCTGCAAATGGAGATTAAACACAACAAAGATGTAAATCCAGTCACAGCTCATGTTTAAAAGTCTAAACTCCACATTTATTAATTATTTAGCCGTTAAGAACAAAGCTGCTGCTACCGCTGTGGGCCAGCGGGGGCGCTGATTCACCACCTCCTAGCTGCCAGCCACCCACAAGAAAAAGGTCACGTCACTTGCCTCGTCCAATCATATTCCCCAAACTTCATTAAGCCCTAGCTGCTAGCCTAGCTGCTAGCCTGCCGTGGAGCAGGTTTGTTCTCCAGCATGTGTTACCATGGTGACGGGGAGGGGCTTCAGGCTGGCCGTGTTGGTAGAACTGGGGCTGTTACCAGGAAAAGCCTGGTTCTGGGAAAATCTCACTTTCTAGAATAACCCCTGAACTTATGAAGTTGTTTTGACCCTAAAACCAAACCCAGGAACCTAAATATGGGTTTTATGGATAAGTATGAGGAACATTTGTGTTTTCTAATAAACAATTCAGAATTTAAAACAACCCCGGATAAGCAGAAGATGGTGAGGCGTTTAAAGCGCAAGTCACCCCCTACCAGATTCTTACTCCACTCCCACTTCATGTTGGAAAAATGCAACAAATGCTGTTGCCTAGCAGACCGTGAGGGCGGAGCTGCTAACAAATACACACACACACAGGCTCACTACGACATTGTGACATCATATGGTACCAGCTAACATTCTAGGGTACCTCTTAGCCGATGGCAGATTTAAATTCAAATGCAGTGCAGAATTTTTACCTGACAACAGCACAACACTGACAGTTTTAGGCAGAAAATTAAAATTTTAACTAAAATGCACTAAAGTGCAAAACTACAGACTTCACGTGTCTGCAGCACGATTAGACACACATTTATATAGTTTATCAGAAAAATGTTGATTTGGGGGTGACTTGCTCTTTAATCAGCTAAAATACAACATTTAGATAACTGAAACAGCCATGACCCTTTGTTTCATCCACTTTGGAGGGAGAGCTAACTTTTAAAATGTTTATCTTTGAAATAAAATACAGTCACATGATTTTATAAGAATAAGAATACCTTTATTAGTCCCTCGGTGGGGAATTTGCAATATTGCAATGGCTCAGGTACAGCAGGATAGCAGCAGTAGCACCCAAGATATCACACAGGAGTACATAGTAATAATAAGTTAAGATCATTATTGCACATGGTAATGTGAGTAGTAGTTATATTGCACATGTTTTGAAAAGATGATATTTGCAGTGGAAGGTTACAGATGTATGGCTTCTGTTAGCAGGGACTATTCTAGAGTCTAACAGCAGCAGGAGGAAAGATCTGCGGTTTCTCTACGTCGTACAGCGAGTCCTGAGCTGGAGGAAATATCCTGCAACCAGACTCACCGGCAGAGGGCGCCAGAGTGAGCAGAAAACTTACAGTAGAAGAAGAAAAAGAATGCGGAAGTGAGAACGATGTAAACAAACTAGTCATCTAGCTAGTGCTAGCCGCAATGAAACCACCCGTTTGAGATTTCTTTCGTTAAAGTCTAAAACCGTAACCGTGTTTCGCGTGGAGAGGTGACGTTTAGACGTAAACCGTTTTGATCTGCGTTCGTCATCATGCCGTATCTGGGCGGTAAGGAGGCGGTGAAGGAGCTGAGGAGGGCACTGTCGAACCCCAACATCCAGGCCGACCCGCTGCGCTACAGGAACACCGTCCTCAGAGTCATCAGGTGCCTCACAGACACTACTCACCTGTGAACCCTCAGGGCCGCAGCTACATATCCACCATTTCTCAGATTAGACCCCCAGGTGGTTTTATGGACCAGAACGAACAGATTCTGGAGTCTAGAGACCTCGTCCCACAGGGGGGTCATAGACGGAACAGGATCAGGGCCCAAGCACTAAAACCCTCCATTGTTTATTTCCTCCCACTCAGCCATGTTTCTCAGCATCGATCACCACGTGGAAACAAACATGTGTTTCCTGGTCCCTGTTTGGACCCTCGGCTCCTCTCTTCTGCACAACCTGACGTGTTTTCTGTGTGGGGTCAGGGTCAGGTGTCCAAGTTGTGGAAACAGTTTTATGTTTCTAGCACGACTGAAGTGATTGGGTGCAGATTTTTGGCTGAGGTATTTAGTTGTGTGTGATTCAGCCCTAACCTCCTCCCCAGGATGATGTCGCAGGGTGCTGACGTGTCCAGCCTGTTCAGTGAGATGGTGAAAGCGTGCGCGACGGTGGACGTGGTCCAGAAGAAGCTGGTTTACATCTTCCTGTGTTCCTACGCCACCTTAAACCCGGAGCTGTCCCTGCTGGTCGTCAACACTCTGAGGAAAGACTGCCAGGATCCAAACCCCATGGTCCGCAGCCTCGCGCTGAGGAGCATGACCAACCTCAGGTGACCTGGACCTGGCTGTAACCATGACAACAGCAGCGCTTGTGATCCATTTGTGATTGTTGTGTGTGTGTGTGTGTGTGTGTGTGTCAGACTGCCCAGCCTGGTGGAGTACGTGGAACAGCCGCTGACAGCTGGGCTGAGAGACCGAGCTGCGTGTGTCCGACGGGTGGCGGTGCTCGGCTGGGCCAAACTCTCCAACCTCCAACCTGCTGCTGATCTAGGTGGAGTTGAATCTGTCTGCTGCTGCGTTTGTTTTGTGACAGAAAGAGAGAAGGGTGCAGAAAAATACCAGCATATAAATATGATTTTAATCACATATCCTTTAGTTTAGCCTGTATTTGATGTCAGACACTGATGCTTGAAACCACCAACAGAAACGCGTCGTCTCCGTTTTGCTGCCAGATGTGAAGCAGGCGGGATTCAATTCAAGTTTATTTATAAAGCGCCAAATCACTACAAGTGTCGCCTGAAGGAACTTCACATGATAAACATTCCAACACAGCTCAGGTCATTAAGCCAGTCAGTAACAAGTTTCCTATTTAAGGAACCCAGCAGGTCGCATCAAGTCACTGACTAGTGTCAGAGTCTTTACAGCAATCCTCATACTAAGCAAGCATGCAGCGACAGTGGAGAGGAAAACTCCCTTTTAACAGGAAGAAACCTCCAGAGAATCCTGGCTCAGTATAAGCAGCCATCCTCCACGACTCACTGGGGATGGAGAAGACAGAGCACACACACACACACACACACACACACACACACACACACACACACACACACAGACACACACACACACACACGCACGCGCGCGCACACACACACACACACACACACACACACACACACACACACACACACACAGACACACACACACAGACACACACACACACACACACACACACACACAACCGCACACACACACACACACGCACGCACACACACGCACACACACACACACGCACACACACACACCCGCACGCACGCACACACACGCACGCACGCGCGCGCACACACACACACACGCACGCGCGCGCACACACACACACACACACACACACAACCGCACACACACACACGCACGCACGTGCGCACACACACACGCACACACACACACACGCACACACACACACACGCACACACACACACACGCACAATGGTAACATTGCGATTTCTTAGTAAATATTCTATTAGGTGAGAGATAAACTTTATTGTATTTATTCTAGTGGATCTATAATTAAACGGGTAAACTAGTAGTAGCACATCCAACGTCAAAGAGAGTAAAAAGTTATTATCAGGAGAGGGAGAATGTTTAAGTGGTTAGCAGCAGTGTGCTAGTCGATGGCCCCCTCCATGAGGGCTACCTCCATGATGACGGTCGACTTCCACAAATCTGAGCTCATGATTTCAGTTCGAGCTACGGTGTAGCCACAGCTGCTCTGGGGCACACTAGAAGCCAGACTGCCGAATACTGGCGCCACCGGTTCCTCCAACCAGCAGGCAAGAGTGTCCGCATCCTCTGGCGGGAGCTGGGATGGAACCTAAAACCCTCCGACTACTGGACAGCCCGCTCTACCTCCTGAGCTGCTGTTGCCCTGTGAGTGCTCTCTCCAGGTGGTTAGTGAGCCCCTGCCTTAAGCGGAGAAGGAGTTGATGCCCGGGTCTGTTTAGATGAAGGAGCTGAACCAACAGGAAAAGCTCACAGATTACTGGATAATCTACGTTTCTAGCCTCATCTATGGTCATGGGATTTAAAAGAGGACAAAAAGAACAAAATCTGGGTTAGAAGTGGCAGAAGGATCTTCTTCAGCAGGAGAAACCCTTGTCTTCTTTATAACGCCTCCTGAGATCAGGTATCTGATAACGATCCCTCCTGATTTCCAGTCCTGTCCCAGAAGGAAGAGATCCTGGGAAGACTCATTGGTCTGGCATCAAGATTCCTGTCAATATTCTCTCTAAGTAATCGATGTGTCAAACACAGTCAACACATATCTGAGTTTAGGTTGTGAGACTAGAAGTGGCTTCATCAGCTGATCCGGAGAGACGCTAACGAGGCGTCTGGTTTCTCCAGATGCCGCCGTGGTGAACGAGCTGTACAGCCTGCTGAGGGACCCGGACCCTGTCGTGTTGGTGAACTGCCTCCGAGCTTTGGAGGAGATCCTAAAGGAGGAGGGAGGAGTCGTAATCAACAAACCCATCACTCATCACCTCCTCAAAAGGTTGGTGTTTAACGTTCTGATGCTTAGAAAGCAAATCCAAGTAGAATTATAGACGACATCCAGGGTGTGTTACAAAGGCTGACAGTGACTAGAAATGACTGACATTAAAGGAGCAATATGTACAGAGAACTAATCCCAAAACCCTCCAATGTCTCATGTTCGAAGGTTACAGTGAAACATTTCATCCTGAGCTGGCTGAGAGGTTGTCAGATTTTCTCCTTTAAAAAAACAAACTGAAGAGGGACGTAGTTACTGTTTACACCCGGAGTTTGTCAGGTTGCCAAGTCTGCGTTGAGCTAACGCTGCAGCGCCGGCATTTGTAGTTTGTAGTCGACTAGAAGGTAAAAAGATCCAGAGTTGTTTAAAGAGCAAGTCACCCCCTACCAGAGTATTACTCCACTCCCACTTCCTGTTTGAAAAATGCAACAAAGGCTGTTACCTGGCAGACCAAGAGGGCGGAGACGCTAACAAATACACACACTCAGGCTCACAACAACATTGTGACATCATAATGAACCAACTAACTAAAATAACCAACTGTTGTTATTTAAGGAGCAGAAACTACTCTGAGTACTCCTCCGCTCTACCCCTGATGAAGTTGTTAGCCTTAGAGGCTAACAACTTCATCAGGGGGTAGAGTTAAACAACAAGAGGCAGCTACAGCGCGACTCTCCCATATTCCAGTCAGAACTTACAAAGCTCCTCGGATGAGAAGCGGAACATCTTCAAGAAGCCAAAGAAGTCTTGCTGCCATCATTTTGAGCCCTTTTGGACGCTGTCTAATGATTTTACCAATTGGGAGCATATATATAGTAAAAAGAATTGGTCCAAGCACTGAACCCTGTGGTACTCCACAAGTATCCCTGGAGTATGAAGAAGATTTGTCATGTACGTTTACAAAATGAAATCTGTCAGACAGGTAGGATTTAAACCAGCCTAGCGCTGCTCCTTTGATCCCTACAACATGTTCAAGTCTTGATCTGCTTATCAACCTATTGTGTGTGACTCATCTTTGCTCGTTATCTAGAACCCTCTGGCGCTGGTCCGTAGCCGGCAGCAGCGGCGAGCTGCAGGCGTGGCGCTGCACCCTGACCACAGAAGATGCTGCCGGTTTTCTTTAACTCGATGCTTTTGGGATAAAACAGAATAAATGTGGCAGCGTTTCAGTTTATTATTCATTATTTTATAAACACCCCGTAAACCCAGGCTCTGCGTTACGTCACGCATCGCTTCAGCTCATTTCAGGGTTTCTGTCTCTGGTGTTGAACAGCAGCAGTCGTAATGTTCTGATGTTTCTGTGTGATCCGTCGTCGTTACCGGGCTCATTGAATTAGAACTGCCGGCTGTTTCCTGTTGGGGAGAGCTGGAGCCTGATGGGCTCAGCTTCTTACCGCTGACATCCCGCCACCACCGGATGGATCCTGTCTGACTCCGAAGGTTCTGGCTTGGTTCTGTTTCCTGCTGCAGATAAACAAACAGGTTGTGAAAAGGACCAAACCAGTAACGTCCTTAAATGAAACGACCCTAAACCATTTACACTGAAATCATTTTGTGCTGGGAAATGATGGAATTCTAACCCTATCCTAGCATAACTAAAGGGATGAGCCAGGAAAACCCAAGCTAACTCCAACTAGAAAATGTATGAAAAGTATAAATGGTGTCTGGAAATAAAGAACAATACAAATAGTGTTTCAACAATGAAAAGTTTTTATAAATGCTCGTTTGTGTTAGCTAAGTGGCGGCTAGCTCTAAAGTTTGAGTTTTATTCAGAAGCTGGTGGGTGGAGCTTGATCCACCGGGCTCCGCCCACCAGACTGTGATGAATTAAAGCTGACTGCAGCTGAATAACTTGATTTATTTAGAACAACAACACAAAAATGGGCGTGTTTTCAGGTTTCTTTACTTAACTAAACTGTTGACGAGCCATGGTGTCGGCTCACCGGCGCCACCTGCTGTACTGGAGTCTGACCTGGGCCATCTCTGTGTCGTGTTGTTTGGGTTCAGGCTGAAGGACTGTGATGTCTGGGGTCAGTGTGAGGTGCTGAGGGTCCTCCAGCGCTACCGGCCCCAGTCAGACGACGAGCTCTTCGACATCCTGTCTCTGCTGGACCCCTCCCTGGTCAGCCCTCACCCCCCCGTCATGGCTGCCACCCTCAGCCTCTTCCTGAGCCTCTGCTCCGACCTTCCTGCCGTCAGTCTGGCTGCTCTGGAGCGAGTCCGAGGCCCGCTGCTGTCCGCCTGTGGGAGCAGCTCCAGGGAGATGAGGTTCGCAGCCCTCTGCCACGTTCAGGTGGGCCCTGGTTCTGCACCAGTTCATGCTTTATACCAGACTGGTTTCCATCTTGCTGCTCCTGGCTGTGAATGTTTTAAGCTTCATAAATTAGTTTAAGCGAAACCCTGTCAGGAAACCATCTAATAGGTGGGGGACCCCAGTGCTGGATAGCAGCTCTGCAGCACCGGGGTTCCCCAGCCCTGCTCTAGATTATTATGAGATACTTTAGAATAATCTCGCTAACTTTAGAACATATGACTGTAGAATAATACAGAATAAATCACGATTATTAAACAGCATAGTATATATTATAAAAACAGATTAGCAATTAAAACATATTAATTATGACCAATAAGAAGTGATGATTCCATATAAATACGGAATATCAACCTGATTGATCTTTGAATGTTTATCAGAAGATTCTCGGGTTCTTTGTTTATTCCGGGATCATAAACACACTTCGTATTAATCCAGACAGTATTTAGTTAATAAAATAACTTTTAGTTCACAGACTGCAGGACCTTGAGAGGGTGTGTCTGGATATGTCCTGTACTGTACTAGAGGTGGGAAAAATGATCGATTCTAAGATGCATCGCGATTCAGCCGTGCATGATTCCGCTTCGATGCAGCAACGTGACATAATGAGATTCTCTCCCTATGTCTATGTCATAGACATAGAGTCTATGTATAGACATAGACTCTATGTCTATACATAGAGTCTATGTCTATGACATAGACATAGACTCTATGTATAGACATAGACTCTATGTCTCTGTCTATGTCATAGAGTCTATGACATAGACATAGACATAGAGTCTATGTATAGACTCTATGTCTATGTCTATGACATAGACATAGACTCTATGTCTATACATAGAGTCTATGTCTATGACATAGACATAGACTCTATGTATAGACATAGACTCTATGTCTCTGTCTATGTCATAGAGTCTATGACATAGACATAGACATAGAGTCTATGTATAGACTCTATGTCTATGTCTATGTCTATGTCATAGACATAGTCTATGACATAGACATAGAGTCTATGACATAGACATAGAGTCTATGTCTATGTCATAGACATAGTCTATGACATAGACATAGAGTCTATGTCTATGTCATAGACATAGAGTCTATGTCATAGACATAGACATAGTCTATGTCATAGACTCTATGTCTATGTCATAGACTCTATGTCTATGTCATAGACTCTATGACATAGACATAGACATAGAGTCTATGTCTATGTCATAGACATAGAGTCTATGTCATAGACATAGACATAGTCTATGTCATAGACTCTATGTCTATGTCATAGACTCTATGTCTATGTCATAGACTCTATGTCTATGTCATAGACTCTATGACATAGACATAGAGTCTATGACATAGACATAGACATAGTCTATGTCATAGACATAGAGTCTATGTCTATGCAGGACAATAAAGTTTTGAGGTTTTATAACTACTTCTGGGGGCAGAGTTGCAATGACATGCTGCGTTGTCCTAGCAACAGTTTAAACCAGAAAAGGCGGACAGGGATACAGGGCCAACATTACCAGTAATCAAAGATGTACCCGTTACATTTAAATCGGATGTCTGGGCTAATTTCTGTTTTGGGATCCTGGATGTGAAAGAATCACTTAACACAGTATTTGTTTACTATTTTTAAGTTCAGTAATATTCTATCTTAAAGCTGCTTTACTGAAAACATTATTTCTTATATTATTTAAGTAATTATAGGCAGCACACTTTAAACATTATTGCTCACTATAGTGAATAGATGAATGTTCTGTTTTTCAGGGATTTCAAAATCAAAAAGAAATTGAAAACTATTCTACTGCTTTTATTAAGTAATGAACATTTTTGTGTGAAGAATCGTGATGCATTTCAGACTCAAATCGAATCTTTAGGCAGATAATCGGAATCGGATCGAATCGTGAGGCAGGTAGAGATGCACACCACTAGTGTGAACACGCGCTGAGCAGAACCTTCTGGAGCTCGCTCACACAGGAAGTGGATGTATGCTGTAGATGAGAGGTCATGTAGGTGAAGATGGAGCCTGTCGAGTATTTTAGTGAGTTATTGAACAATAGATAGATGTGCCTCAGTGTCATCTTCCTCTTCATCATCATCACTGATGGCGAGGTTGGCTGGCACATTAACTGCCCTCCATTTTTCATAGACAGCTTTATTTAAACAGCCCACTTCCTGCGACTCACCGTGCTGCACAGCAGTGAAGACAGCTGAAGCAGCCCAGACCTCAACAGCCCAGTTACTGAAGCACGACTGAAGCTGGAAAGGTAACATCAGTTAAACGTTGAGGAGGACTAAACGTGGCCAGCCAGGTGAAAACGTGGCTAAGCTAAAGCAGGAAGGAGACTACAACTGGAGCAGTGAACTACAAAAATGAGGCTGGCACGAGTGAAGCCGACCAGAACCAGACGCTCAGATCACACCACGTCTCCAAAAGCAACGCAGCTCATGGTTTACCTGTTAATGGAGGACACCTCAGACTTTCCCACGCATTTTAAACTCCGCCCACCGGCTCGGGGATTCCCGCCTTCCTGAGAACTCCGCCCGTTTGAGACCGAACTCACACCACCCAGCCCGCCCAAACCCGGCCGCGCCGACGCTGGCGTGTAGGCGCTGTAAGATGCTGCGGCGTCACGCCGACCTGAGCTGCTGCTGACGTGTGATTGGTTTCAGGTCGTGAGGGACAGATCCGTGGTCACTCCCACGAGCCTCTTCTCATCCCGAGGAGAAAACAAGATCTAGATTTGACCTAAAAATATTCATAACATCCTTTAACGCGTCCAGGGCGTCGGTTCAAATCCGGCAGCTTTGATGTTCACCAGCTGCACCGAGGTGAACATCTCCAACACTCTTATCCTCATTCAGCACAGCCAGACAGGGATGCAACGACGCACCTTTTCCCAAACCAACACGATACCGATACTTGGATCTGAGTACTCGCCGATACCGATTACCGATACTTCTACCACACAAAGAAATGCTATGATTTGGAACACAGGTTTTATTTTCTTCTAACAGGAAAAGACCGTGAGGTCGATAAAACGTAAAACATCACAAAACTAAAATATTAGGTGAACAGAAATGACAGTGACAGTGACAAGCAACTGCATTGGTATCGGTTAACTTTTACCGATACCAGTATCGTATCGGTGCATCCCTACAACCGGACCACCTTGTGGACCGGGCGCTGTTAGTTCTACAGATCCAACCGTAAACAGGAGAGGACGCCAAGCTGCAGGAAGGCACTCCTCACCAAGATCTGGCCCCGTGCTGGTTGGTGGAACAGTGCCATGGCACGGTGTGTGATTGGCTTGATCTGTGATGATTGGTTGGGTGAATCCATAAGGGCTTAAAGGTTTCCATTAATAATAAACCTGTTTGCTGCAGCTGCTGCTGCGCTCTGTCCCCGGCCTGCTGGGGGAGCACTACAAGCGCTTCTTCTGTGGCTACGCCGAGCCGGCCTTCATCAAGCAGAGGAAGATGCAGGTGTGTGCTCTGAAGGATCATGTTGCTCTAATGAATGGATTCACTTCCAAATGAGCTGACACGGCTGAAGTCTGGACGGTGCTCTGCAGGTGCTGGTGGAGCTGGTGAACGATGACAATGTTGGGATGTTACTGGACGAGCTGAAGGGATACTGCACTGATGTCAGCATGGACACCGCTCAGACCGCCATCGCAGCCATCGGTTAGGGTTAGCTTCTGCTGACAGAACCAGACCTGCTTCTGGAGACTCACCCAGAGTAACGCCTGATCGTAGAAGTTTAAACGTCTCTCTGCTTCCTGTTAAGGGCACATCGGGCGCAGCTACAGCGACCGGAGTCTGGAGATCCTGACGGGCCTTCTCACACTCAAACAGGAGCACATAACCTCAGGTAAGGCTCCATCAGAGCACGGGGACACACACCTGTCCCCCTGAAGCAACATGTCTGACCAGCGCCCCATCCGTCCTCAGC